TCAAAACACGGTAACACAGAAGTAGTAATTTGGTATATCAATCAGTTACTAGCCCCGTATAACCTACTTCACCCATACCACATATCTGTCCCATAGCCGAATGTTGGTGCTCAATAGGGTTCATGTTTGTTGCTGGCAATCTACATGCGATCCTTATCACAATATAACCCAATCATTGCTTGCTAACAATTCATAATTCGTCTAGAAAAAAAACAAACTAAATAAAGATTCTCATCAAATCAAATCAGATAAAGGTCCTATCACATCATTCTCAAACATGGTATTTGGTTCCAAGGGTTCAATCAGTTCCCTTAGAGATTCTGGCCAAAGTCGCACAATCATGCTAAGTTCATTTGTTCTCTAGATCAGGCATCATAATGGTTCATATCAAAGTGGCTGAGGTTCCATACCATATAGTTTCCTTCGAATAAGTTCACATGTAAATACACAGGCACATAGTTGTTCATAACTTAAAGTGATTGCACAATATAGAATTTGGTATGCGGAAATTCCAAGTAGATTATATCATCACAAATTCATGATTCTAAGAACCCAATCAAATAATCTCGTCCACGTTAACCAAGCAAGGTATGTAATCACAACTAATATGGGGTTTATTATACGAGGTATCCAATCTAGCCACATAGTTGTAGCGTTAGCTCCAATGGTCTAGCGAGTCGGGATCAGTACTATAACAATCATTTCGAACAAAGGCACAGAGAGATATTTATCCACAAACAATTAACATTCTGAGCAATGGTGCATATATATGAGAGTCCCTAGTCAACCAACACATAAGCATTTGTTCATAAACAGTGAAGGTACCTGGAACAACGGTCCTAGTATTATGAGTGTTTTCTGGAACGAGTACAATTACTCTACCTTGGCTTGCGATTCCACTCGTTGTAGAAGATCTTGCCATTGGTACAAAACTGATCAAGGTAGCGGGTCCATTCACACTTTGTTCGATTCGGGGACAATCCCTTTCCTTATGACTCATTTCGCCACATCTATAACAAAGTTGCATATATGGGTTCACATAAATCATATAACCCTCATGTTCGTATACTCATGTTTTCATAAGTCACTCATTCATATCGAAATCCAAATTACTCATCAGTTCACATAGCTTCTGCTCATACTCATAACACATAGGCTACTTCTTATGCTGAGATTAGAAACGTAGACAAGGTTTCACAATTTCCATGTCCATGCCCAATTAAAACCATACTTGCTCAAACAATAATCATACTTACACATGTATTCTTATACACTTTATATTCCACAAGAAGTTTAGAAGCACACTTGTATTCATATCTTTCATGCTTATGCTCATATAAAGATCATGGGTTCACACCTTATCTCATACACTTGTAGTGCAAAATGCAAATGTTCCTAATTCTTTTCTAAACTCCTTATTTCTCAATTGAAATTGTGTGTGAGGTATTTACTCGTGCTCTGATACCATTCTGTCATGACCCGAACCCGTCCATAAAAGTTTGGGTCATAACTGGCCGGTAATTCGTGGATTACCGAAGGCCTCAAACAAACATACAAAATATTTATGTTAATGGGGCCATAACGGAAGCATATGATGAGAAGGAGTCCATTGAGTTGTGCCAATCATGAGTAAGATCATAGCGATAACCATGTAACACATTAATACATTTAACAGCCCAACAAAATACAGGAGCCAAAGAAAAAATTGTACATAGTGTTTACAACCCAAGACCATGAAAGCAAAAACAAAATAAGATCAAGGTGTGGTGTGAGTCAAGACAAAACTCCATCTTGGAGGCAAACTCGATTGGGTCTAAAAATGAATAGCTCCTGAAGCTGACTCTAGGGGTGTGCTCTATGCTGCAGATTACCTACATGTGCATACATAATATTGAGTGAGCGAAGCTCAATGAGGAATAATACAGTAAACAACGTAATAATCATAGGATTCTCATAATACCCATAATCGTGTAATCAAAACGGCCTCAGGCTTAACATTTATCAAAACGGTCTCGGGCCCAATTTGCTCATATCAAAACGGCCTTAGGCCCAACATTTATCAAAACAGTCTCGGGCCCAATTTGCACATATCAAAACGGCCTTGGGCCCAACATTTATGAAAACGGTCTCGGGCCCAATTTGCACATATCAAAATAGCCTTGGGCCTAATCATATATCAATTGGCCCCAGGCCCAACATTTATGTATGTATGGACCCAAGAGGTGACTCGTACGGACTCTAGAGGTGACTCACACTGTAGCACTTAGTTCCGTATAACACTTTGTTCCATACCATAAATCAATAGGTTTTAAAGACTGAACAAGTCATATCATGTCATAGCATAAACGAAACGGATCAACGGAACGGCTTTGGGCCCACCATATCATATTAAAAACAATTCGCATTTCTTGTTCATAACTCATTTCACACTTCTTGGAAACTTGTGCATTTTGACAAAATACAATATTAGAAGATCATATCGTACATAAATCAAAATCTATAATGAAAAACATATCTTTACTATACTATTACTCATGGTGATTTCCAGAAATGGTTGACCGGTCCTCGAATCATGACCTGCAAACACAATGTGCATGGCACAACATATCGGAACATAGAATTACTCTCTTGATCAAATCTAGTTCTCTTAATCTTTTCTTAACCAAATAAGTCAATCCCTTACTTTGCTCCTTAACCAATTATTTTTGTTGGTTCTAAACTCATTAGTTTTCAATGGGTCATAATTCGTGTCTAGGAAAATAGGAAGAAACGAAAGGAAACTGGATTAGGAGAGGAAATAGCATGAAACGGTTAGAAAGAAAGTGAATAGCGTTCACTAATTTGAACATATCTATTTGTGTATTTAGACTTTGGATGTGAGACTACTAACATTGGAAACTAGACTTGCGGGGCTTGAATTTAGGCTCAAGAATCGCTTAAAATAGAGTCCGGATGAGGGAGATATACCTTTTTGAAGTTGGGCCGAAACAGGGTTCCGCATGTGTGGAAGTCTTTACCGTTCGTGCGGCCCAAATCCGCTCGAGCAGAAACACCTGCCGCTCGAGCACCCAAGGAGCAAAATCAAAACCTTTTTTTTTTTTCATGTTTCACTCGTGCGGGGCCCGTGGCCGCTCGTGCGGTCTGGGCAAACTCAGACAACCCGAAAATTCATCAAAGATTGAGTTCAACTGAACTTCAAGCCAAGATTTCAAGTAATCTTCCTTTAAAAGTTGAAATACTAACCTTACACAAGTGTAATCACAACTCAAACACATCAATCTTGCTTAGAGTTTAAAAATCAAAAGCTCATCTTTCATAATCTTAAGAGCGTCCTATTGGATCCAAAGAGTATTTCCAAACCACTCTCCCACAAATGGCATTCCCCAATTGTGAGAGCCAAAATTAGCATATTATGTGAGTCTTAACACGGACATGTGGCGTAATTTTCTACTTGGATGCTCAGCTCGGATTATTTGTTCGGGAGCTAGGCACTTTGCTCGAGAGGTAGGTACTCAGCTCAAATAGCTCGGGTGCACTCTTGCTCGGATTTATTTTGTTAGGGTGCACAACTAGACACTCTACTTAATTAGATGCTTTGCTAGGCTAATCAACTAAACTACTTTGCTTGGTTATTCTGGTATAGATAATGAAAGGGTATCCCAACAACATATCTGGATAATGCTTGTCACCCCCAAGCATGGGTGTACTATCCCACAAATAGTGAAGCATCTCAAAACAGTTTTGATGCGGCTCCTTGCCTCCACACTTTTTTTTTCTCTCCTTGTATCACTTTCCTTTCAATCGCCAGTAATATCTTCTTCTCTTTGCTGATAATAATAATAATATTAATAATAAACAACCTCAAAACAGTTATTCATACTTTATATAAAGAAGACACCCACAATGGGTCAAACATGCAATCTAGCACGCAATGCATAGGCTCGTGAATATAGGTAATTGATTACTTTCATTCTGAAAAGTGGAGAAAATATCAGTTTGCCCCAAAAATATCTCTTAAATATGTAAGAAAATTTTAGAAGTGGATGGAAATGGACTCCATTCAAATGGAAGGGCCTTTTACAATGGTTTCAATCACTTCTATAAATACTATTCTCATGGCATTCATTTGTGAAGGAAGTGATAGGATTTATAAATATGTCATAATCAAGTATAAAAAAGAGAGTGTATAGTATAAATTGATTCACTGTACACATAAAATTGTGTAATTTCTGTGTGGGGTACCTCGCTCCGGAATGATAAGAATTGGAGCGGCAGTCAATCTAAGCTTTAGTTCCGGAAGGAATTCTCACATGCTTTGCTCCAAACGAACCTTACTCCCTTACGGGATCAATCTAGTTAATAGTGATGCTAAGGAAAAGAAATTCTTTACAAATCGGTGGTAGTAACCGGCTAAGCCCAAAAAGCTATGAATTTCTGAGGTGTTCTTAGGCTTCTCCCAACCCAGCACAGTTTCTATTTTTGAAGAATCCACCATAATTCCATTTCCCAAAACTACGTGATCCAAAAACTTCACTTCAGAAAGCCAAAATTCACATTTCTCATATTTCGCATACAAACGGTGCTCCCTAAGAAGTTGCAGGATAGTACGAAGATGCTCTTCATGCTCCTCTTCACAAGGTGAATAAATAATATTTTAGTCGCCAAAAATCTTATTTTCTGCTATTAAAACTTTGGTTGCCAAAACTTGAAGTATCTACGACGACCAAAGTTTTAGTCCCCAAAGGGTTTTTTTTCCATCTTATTTTATTATTATTATTTTTTAGTTACTAAATTCTTAGTCGCCTAAAGTCTATTTTTATTTTAGCTACCAAATATTTAGTAGCCAAAAGTTTTTCTCTATTTTATTTTTATTTTTAGATACTAAATATTTAGTAGCCAAAAGTTTTTCTCCATTTTATTTTTATTTTTAGCTACTAAATATTTAGAAGCCAAAAGTTTTTTTTTCATTTTTTTTTTTTAATTTTTAGCTGCTAACTATTTAGTCACTAAAAATATTTACTTCATTTTTGGCTACTAATTGTTTAGTCGCCAAAAACATGATTTTATTTTATTTTTTAATTAATTTGTCCACAATATGTATGTATTACATGCAACCTATATCGTATATATAAGTAAAACAATACATCTATTATCAATCATTCCACAATTTGCATCCATTTCACTTCCAACCATCCAAAAAGAAATAACTTTTAATGTCAAATTTCATACAAATTAAGTATACTCCAACCTAAAATAATAATATTATTCCATACAAAACAGAGAATCATACCAAAACATGTCTTCCATACAAAAATATAGTCACTACGATGCCAAATATATTTCCTAAAAAAGATATCTTTATTGTTGTAAAGTGAGTTGATAATGATGTCTATAAGTCGAGACACCTTAGCTTGAAATTCAAACTTCTTTGCATTATTGTGGAGTGAACTCTTCGATAAGTTTCCCTAAACCACATAATTACAAAAAAAAAAGAAAAAAAAAAGAAAAATGAAGAGATAGAGACAAAGAGAGGGGAAGATGAAGAATTAGAAAACTCCAATTCTCAAAGGACATGATAATTCCATAGCTTGGGTGGGATTTATTCCAAACAATATCTAAATAAATATAATTTGTATACATAAAACTCATTTAGAATGACATGACAGTTGTATTTTTATAATTACAAGCTACAATGATCAATATCTTGGATGGCTTTGGAAAGTAGGAACTTGAAAAGTTCATCATTGGGATTGTTCCTACAGAGTTACACTAAAACATAAAAGTAAAAGAACAAAAAAAATAAAAGAAAAGAAAAATAAAAAAATAGAAAGATTAAAAGTTGATATTTGGTATATGAGATTCTTACTCTCCTAAAATACATGAAAATTGGCCCCCATAAGCAGCAGCTGCAAGCCTCGAATCCCTAATACCAGCAAGAAAAACAACAATGAAACTAGCAATAGATTATGGATAATCTAAGCCATACTCTGATGACGAACTACAATGAACAGCTTCAATATGAAGACATACATACAGCCCATGTCCAAGTTCACAAACAAAAAATATGCAGAAATGACATCAGGTAGTTGATAATTACTCACCGTATCCTGAGAGACCAGCCCAACATGGCTCCTTAAACTTTCCAACCAAATATTTTGGATTTTATGATTATGTATTAGTATACAACCTGTTAACATGGGACAAGCAAAAGGTCACAAAAAAATAATGAAAATAATCATAAATGAATTGTCAAATGTCAAAACAAATATGTCAGAACAAGGTTTATAATCATAGTTTATAATCATAGATGACTCATCACACAGAGGATCATAAATGCGAAGAAGCAGTTTCATAAGCATTGTCTTTCCTCCTCCTGAGGGCCCAACAAAAGCAACTGTTTCTCCAGCTTTTATATGAAGGTCCAACCCATTTAATACAAGAGGCATATCCTCACCATGATTGAATGAGATGTCACGAAATATCACCTTACCGGTAACACAGTCTAAATTAACAGCATCCAGTTTTTCAATCACCTAAATAAAATAACACAATAAGTGGTTAATTTTCGAAATCAAATCTTAAAAGCCCCAAACAACAAAATTGACTACACTGTCAAGTCAAAATAAACAAGACCGCAAGAAAGTGAGACAAAAATCTATCGAGTTTGTTTAAGTTGAATACCATTAATCAACATAATTGATGGATAAGGACTACTATAGAGGAGATACTGATCCAAAACCAAATAGCCATGTGTATTGCCAGCTGTGAAACTCTAGCCCTGAGATTTACATAGAATTCAAGGATGCCATGAATTCTATGTAAATAGAGAGGTTGTTTTAGAACCAAGGCCTGAGAACTATGTGGAGAAGCACAAGCATTTAGAAAAATAAAAAATAAAAAATAAAAAACCTGAAAAAACACATAGCAACAAATTTTTGAAGGTGAAAGACCATGTAAGATCAAAACCTCTCCATTGCTTCCAAGTCATACATGTAAGATCAACATCCTGGTTTTTTTTTTTTTTTAATTTCCATACCCATTTTCTCAAATTCA